GACTTTGCGGCTGTTGAAGGTGACTCTAGAAACAGGACCTCTGGAGAACACGGGTGCTGCCTTCTCCACTGTTCCCTGGGCGTGTTGCAGGACTGGCTGGAAATCATGGTGCATGCTGCATGATGGTGTCATCTTGTCGCTCCTGCTGTAGCTCAAGGGTGCATGCCAGCACTGAGAAGCAGACAGAGAAGTAAAGATAAGCAAGTTCTGCACTGGGCGTGAAGGTGTGTGGTGCGACTGCGGCAGAGAGACGTGGAGACTGCTGTGAGCTAGGGCACGGAGCCGTGAGCTTCCAGCTGTCTGAACAAAAACAGATAGAAAACCAGTCACATGACATTTCCACAGCAGGAAGGGGCCTTGGAAACATGCTCAGCGGAGTCAGCCAGGCACCAGAGCACAAAGTCTGTGTGCCGCTGCTCTGAGGCACCTTGAATGGTCTGCTTCAGAGGTAGCAGGTGGATGGGGGCTTGCCAGGGACGGGGTGCTGGGAGTGGGAGCGACAGTTAGTGTGCATCGAGTTTCAGATTGGGAGGGTGAAAATGTTCTGCAGATGCTTAGAGGGTGATGGCTGTACGGGTTTTACTGTCCCTAATGTCACTGAACTGTTCACTTAAACATAGTTGAAATTTTAAGTGTTATATATATTTTGCCCAAAACAGGAATTTTAAAACCCACATAATATCATCTACATCTCATTCTTCTCATTTTAAAAGAACCAATTATTTTTTGGTTTGGTATTTGTCTTTGTGGGCACCAGTGAGCTAATGCCCTCAGCCCTTTTTCAATTTAACATGGTCTCACCAAATTGGTAAGTCTGACCTTGAACTTGTGATCCTTCTGCCTTGGCCTCCCCAATTGCTGGGATTCCATGTGGGTGCCACCATGCCTGGCTTTTTTTTTTTTTTTCTTAACGAAGTGTCTTAGATGACCTTAAACCAGTATAGAAGCACAGAGCTCAGCATTGTGAACTACAGGAGAGCAGGGCCTTCTCATGATAGTCGTCAGTGTGAGTGTAAAGGAATCTGACCAAGTATTACACGTTATACTTTCACGTCCTGAGGACTTTGGTAGCCAGTAGTGTAAATATTCAAAACCAGGTAAAATATGGTGATTAATTTGAACATACCCACATATAGGACAGTTCTTTAAAACAAGATTGTTTCCATTCAATTATTTATTTTCCCTCCTTAGTATATTAAGAGAACATAGCAGACATTGAGTTTGTGAAATGAGCCGGTCAGGTGGACGGCACCCCTGCCATGTTGATCAGGGAGGAGCCAGTTCTCCAGGCCCTGCCATCTGTGTCTTAGAAGCCTGGAGACATGGACCTCTGAATTATCAGTGGCCTTATGTTCCAATAGACCCTGTCTCCATGCTGCTCACTGTCAGAGCTCCGATGATGGGAGCACACGCAGGTGCACAGTCGTGCCACCACTACCTGCCCTCTGCCCAGGCGCTCAGCCAGCTCAGAGCAGAGTGCGTCCATGCTTCATCAGAGCTAGGTGCTCCCCAGCCTCGGGAGCCTGGACTCCACATTATCTCCATGGGGAAGTATGTTGGGATTCTGTATGTCAGTCTTCCTCCATAGGCACACCTGGATCACCATCATTTACTTGCACTATAGGCCAGTGGCTCTGTGAGGAGGGTATTATCAATACCTCCACTTCATAGATGAGGAAACCAAGGCACAGAGGCTACGGGCAAGTTTGTTTTATAAAGTGTTAAGATGTCGTCTCTCACTTCACCTCTGTCTAGTATGAGACAACCACATGTGGGTTGGCCTCTGGGCCTTCTGTTCTGTTCCACTGGTCCTCGTGTCTGTACCATGCGGTTCTTGTCACTCCTACTCTGTAGTATAACGTGAGGACTGCATTATGATGCCTCCTGCTTTGCTCTTCTTGCTGAGGGTTGTTGTGGCTATTCGGGGTCTTATTTTTCAAAACGAATTTTGAACTGTGTTTTTAGTTCTGTGAAGAATGTCGTGGGTATCTATATTGGCAGAAAGCCTTTTCAAAAATATTTTGTAGTTGTAGATGGACGGCATGTCTTTATTTTGTTTATTTTTATGTGGTGTTAAGGATCGAACCCAATGCCTCACATGTGCAAGGCAAGTGCTCTACCACTGAGCTACTGCCCCAGCCCAGGAAAGCCTTTTCAATAAATGGTGCTGGGAAACCCAGAAATCCATATGTAGAAGAATGAAATTTGACCCTGTCTCTCACCCTGCACAAAAGTCAACTCAAAGTAGATAAAAGACCTGGGAATTAAACCAGAAACTCTGCAACTGATTGAAGAAAAATGTAGGAGTGCTACCTGCTCCTCAGACAGGGCGTTCATATCCAGGATATACGAAGAACTCAGAACTTAACACCAAAAACAAATCACCCAGTCTAATAATGGGCAAAAAAAGTAAACAGACACTTCTCAAAAAAGAAATACAAATAGTCAACAAATATATGAAAAAACTGTTCACCATCTCTAGCAATTAGGGAAATGCAAATCAAGACTATATTGAAATTTCATCTCACCCCAGTCAGCATGGCAATTATTAAGAATACAAGTAATAATAATGTTGGGCAAAGATGTAGGGGAAACGGTCCATTCATACGTTGTTGGTGGGACTGCAAATTAGTACAGCCATTCTGGAAAGCAGTATGGAGATTCCTCTAAAGACTAGGAATGGAACCACCATATGATCCAGGTAGCTCACTCCTTGGTATATATCCAGAGGATTTAAATCAGCCTACTTCAGTGACGCCGCCACATCAATGTTTATAGCAGCTTAGTTCACAATAGCAAAGTTATGGAACCAACCTAGGTGCCCTTAAATGAATGGATAAAGAAAAAGTGATATTCTCTCTTTCTCTCTCTGTCCCCCCCCCCCCCCCCCCACACACACACAATGGAGTATTACTCAGCAAAGAAGAAGAATGATATTAAGTCAGAAGTTTTCTCTGATATGCAGAAGGTAATCCAAAATGGGGTGAGAGGAAAGGACAAAGAAGGGGAGGGGCAGAGAATTTCATCAAAATAGAGGAAAGATCAGTAGAACAGACCATGGAGATCGAGTGGGAAGAAGGAGGGATGGATTAGGGAAGAACAGGGGAATGAATCTCTCTGAACTTTTGTATGCACATGATGAATACACTGCGATGGATCCCAACATCAAATACATTCACCACACTAATAGAAAACAAAACCTAAATAAATCGCAGAAAGGTCAGTGGAGTAGAGGGAGGGAGCAGGAAGAGGGGGAAGGGACAGGGGAGTGCTGGGGACTGAATCAGCACATTCTATTCCATGCTTTGTGAGTATGTAAAAATGCATCCTGATGTCATATATAACTAGAAGAATTCAATGAAAAGGGACAGCATGTCATTTGTCACCATAGTAGATATACTGAAGGCCTCTAAAGCTGGTGCACCTGCCCCACCCTGTTAGAGCATAAGGTCTTTTTGCAGTTATTTTCCTTAAGCGTTTTGGGATCCTGTTCAGTGTGAACACCTGAGAAGAAGAGAGCACGTTTGGGCAGCGTGTTTTCTGTAGGGCACGTGGGACGAGGCCATTCTGCCAACAGTGCCTGTGCGGTCGGTGCTGAGCCAGAATGAACAGCTGCCGAGTGCTCAGCCCAGAAATGGAAGTCCGTGAAGGTGAACCGCTGTTTGACCACTGGGTAGGGAGTCAGCTGCAATCCCAGTTTAGTAACGCAGAGATTCCTAACACAGGAACCCCAGGATTTCTGTAGGAGAAACTGTAGATAAAGGATAGCTGTGAGTACTTCTATTTGGTAATACAAACTCCTTAATGGAAAGAACTTTTCTAAAAACAACTGAGCTTCTGCTAAGAAGCCAACTGATTCAATTCCTCTGTCTCCTTGTACTTCGGTAGAAAAGCTGATGTTCCCAGTGAGCAGAAAGAAGATAGGGACGCAGGGGGCCAGGTTGATTCTCGTGCAGGGCTGACTGGTAACCAAGAGGTAACCATGAGAATTAGTCAGCTCTTGGCTCCGAGATCCTTCACAGTGTCGTCTTGAGGACCAAAGGCTATAACACATGTGCAAGTGTCGTACTTTCAAAGCTGGGAATCACTGGGCACACACAGGTTATTAAAGAGCAGCTCGTCCCGACTCTGTGCATGGTCTGTCTCTCATGGGTGACCTGGCTGTGTGCGGCGGAGAAGGGCTCAGTTTGTCATTGCTTACGGTCTGTGCAAATGGTTACGTTACCCTGGCTTTACAAGTCTGCCACTCTTCTTTGTACCCACGTAGGATCCTCGGAGATTTTAAGACATTGAGTTTCCTAGTTTCATTCACTGTAATTTGTTCTCTTCAGTTTTGTGTCTGAGATTCTTCTCTTTCCCTTCTCTCCAACTCTGCAACTTAAATGTAGGTACCCAGTGTGGAACCAGCTGATCTCGTTGGTCACATACCTTTCCATAGTAGGTACCAAAATCATACATGATCAGTAACCGAGTGCAGTAAGAAAAAAGAAATATTAAGTAATAATTTAACAATACTTTATAAATAATAAAGTGATGTTAACAACAACAACAAATGTGTTGCCCTAACCTAAATCTAGAAACTTCCTCCAATCAAATGCACAGGATTACGAGGTCTCAACTGCTGCTCAGATCTTGCCGTTTTCCTTCTTACTTGATAAAGCAGAATAGGGAACTGGGAGGTGAAGGAGGAGTGATGTTCACCTTGAAGTACTTCAAAATCCTTTTGTTCTTTAGGCATCTTTTGATTTTATGTCCTTTTTTTTTGGTTACCTAAGAGGGACAGTGAACGCGAGGAGTGAACCTGAGAAGGGATTCTTCTGTGGGCTCCTGGAAGGGATACTAACTCGCCACATGTCCTCGTAGAAATCGCCAGCCGAGGCTCCCTAGGAGAGCGCTGAAGCCCATTTTCAGCTGTTTTGTGCTCGCACCAGGTGCTGACCTCGGGGAAATCACCCTGATTTGCTGCAGGGATTAATGTCTCCTCCTTCCGTTTCTTTAAGGAAATGGCGAAGATCCTTAACCATCCCCGAGTCTACTCCTTCCTGCACATACCCGTCCAGTCCGCCTCCGACAGCGTGCTCATGGCCATGAAAAGAGAATACTGCGTGGCTGACTTCCGAAGAGTCGTGGATTTCCTGAAGGAGAAGTAAGTCTGCTGGCACTTGTGAAAGTTCAGAAGTGTGTGGGGACGAGGAACTTAGCGCAGCTCACGGGGAAAGGTGCCAGGGAGAAGGTGGGTCTCGAGGCTTGTAGGCCTTCCTTCCCTTGGGCACTTTCGCTGTGGGTTCTCCTGTCCCCGCAGTTTGTGCCCCTGCCACCTGTGCAGGTCGCCCTATGTGTTGTCTAGTCTCTAAGGAAGTGTGAGCCGTGGTTATTTTCATACCTGACCTGGTGGATGAAACCTGTGTTGGCTTTGCTCTGCTTTAAGTCCCCTGAGAGCTTTCTGAAGTCATGAGTGGCTTTTGAGATGGACATAGGGACCAAGTCGTGGCACTAAAAAATGGGTGATTTTCTACTGACTTGCATTTTTTGAGGAGTGCTGGAGCGTCGTTGCTTTTACCCACTGATCCCAGTTATTTACTTGTGATGTCAAGGAGGCGGGAGGATTCTGGTGTTCAAATTCCTACTGACCAAAGTTAAGGCATGTTTTCATAGTCCCAGATGTGAATGGTAGTTTAGTTTCCGTAAAGAACACTTGCAGCCCGTAATTATGTTCTTCAGAATCCTGCTCAAACGGGGAAGGGTCTGAGATCAGGCCAGGCAGGGAGCAGAGGTGCCAGCCAAGGCCCCAAGACCTTCCCAAGCCCAGGCCACAGTTCACCCTCGGGGAACTTGTCTTTCATCTTGGTGTATTTTGGGGTCGCCTCACTTTCCATAAATTTTTCCACTGTTGTTTTTCTTGATTAAGATACAACTTTTTATTTCCATCTTCTTGTTTATAATTGCGTACCTTTGTACCATGTCGAAGGACTACATAGATATGGTTGCTCTGTACTGATGGTAAGCAATTACTTTTTCCACCTATAATTAGTCATTCATCCGCATAAAATTGTTTTAAGATATTTTTCTTCTTCTTTTTACTCTTTTCTTCTTTTCTCATCTTTCCTTTATGTGTCTCTTAATTTTTTTTTCCACCTCTAGACTTTTTTTGATTATCCTAACCCTAGAAATAGGCACTTGGTGGGCATCCACACAAATGCAGCCAATCATTCAAATATTCAATGTAGTGGAAAGAAAGCATATTTATTCCAAGATACCATGATTATAGTCCGTATATACATACAGCTTCAAAACAGCAGAATAACAACGCTCTCTACCGTGTCTAATACTCTTGGATCTCTAACAGAACTGGTCAAGGCTAAAGAACACACATTTTTATATTAAACGTCTCTTGTTGGTCTATGGCCTGACCTTGATGTTATTCAAGCTTTTGTAGGTAACTTGTCTCATGTAGGAGAGTCGTTGAAGGCACGCTGGCACTGGTGAATGGAATGTGTTCAGAATTGAAAAAAAAAAAAAATGTTACACCTGTGAGATTCCTTCTCTTGCTTATTGAAACAGCAGCCGATAACGCACACACTTCGCACATCTTGCACAAGGCTTTGCCAAGCACAGACATGCAGCCCTGGTGAGGAACAGACCCGGAGGCTTCCCAGATCGGCTGTTGCATTGTGCGGTGGAGTGAGCTGAAGGAATCATCACCGCTCTGGCCTCCCTTTGGGCGAGCGCTGACTGGGTTTGTGGAATTACTGTGGCTATTTACCTGGACAGCATTTGCCAACAAGTTCAGTCCTTTCAATTGCTCTGTAGATGGACATGTTGAATCTGCTGCATCTTGAACAGTCTGAGCAGCCTCCTTGAGCTTTGTGGAGGTCGGAGAGGATGAGCACATCGAGGCGTTAGAAAATGATTTCTTGCCATCCTTCATTGACTACATTCAGTTCAGGGTCTTTTCTTTGGACTTTCAACTACCTGAGGCATCTGAGTAGCTTTTCTAGAAGTATATGACTAGCTAGAGATCCTAGAACAAAGTTCTCTGCCCAGTGATCTCCAGAGCAGAGAAGTTTGAGAGGATGATGGACACGCCTGGAGAAGACCTTGCCTCCTCCCATACAGCCCAGCCTTCATTTCAGTTTTAAGTGCTATTAATTCCTGGAATATAGATAAACCTCCAGTCAGTCAGGGTTTTAACAGATGAAAATTAACTCTGTATTGTGTATGTGCAAGGACAGAATCAACCCTGCTGTATAAATTCACATTTAGATAGTAACTAATATATATTGGAAAACTAGAGCAAGCAGCCAATATGATATACTTACTTTGTATAGCAGATAACTGAGAAAAATTTCAGGTTCTCTACTTGGAAAAAGTCCAATTATTGCTGTTAATGTAACGAAGTGATCATTGCATAGCTTTAGGCAGCTCACTGGAACCCTAAAATTGTCTGTTTCCTCCAGTCCATTTTGTTGCTTATGGGAGTAGTACAGCCCTTTCCCATGGGGTGGTATGTTGCAGCTTCTCTCTTCAGTGGGAGGAAGTTTCCTGTCCTCTTGGGAGGACACTGATCCAGTGAGTAACTTTCCATTATGGTGGATGTTTAGGCAGAGGTGAAGTATATGAAGCAGACTTCTGATCTTTATTTTCTTACTTTAGACTAGTGCAGCTTTGTGACAGATTAGTGCTTGTTTTGGAAACACCACAGTTTCAGGGCTTCTGTGGAGGCATCAGTCAGGATGTGCCCCGTGTGTTCATCCTAAGAAGGTGTGACCTGTCAGTTCGCCCAGCACTCGTTCATAACACACCCCAACTTAAAATGGCAGGTTTGCTCCTTTCTTATCTGTTTGCTCTATGAATCCCGTATAAATGTGGCCCTTTTCATTTCCTTCTCTTTTCCCCTAAAGTCTTTGAACCTTTTTTAGGTTTTTGTAATGAAATTTTCACTAATAAGTGGAGCTTCTGCCTTTCTCTCCTTCCTCAAGAGGCTTCTCAGCTCTTCACGTCGGGAATGAAGGAGGAGGCATTTCCTAGACTGTTTCCACAAAAAGCCCATCTTCAGAAGAACCTGTAGGATTTAAGGCAAAAATCCAAACTAGGAATTTACCTGAAGCTATAGACTCTTAAGCTCTCCATCCATTGGTGTTGGTGGAGCCCCGTGTCTCAAACAGTAGAGGTGCAGTCTTTTGAATTAATGTTCCTTATGTTGCACATGGCCCCCTTTCAGCTGGGAGCGATGGAAGCTGACATTTGAGCCAACTTGAAGCCTAGTCATTATTCTCTGCAGTTGTTCGAACGTTGGCAGCCGTCCTCCCCACAGCAGCTGGATTGAAGATAACCTGGTGGTGTTGGCACATGTCGAGGCATATGGGGATTTATTAAATCATGCAACCTTTGTGAAAAAAGAGTGTCTAAATTACTTAATATACTAATTTAAAACAGCTGGTCTTGAGCAGACACTCATGACTTAAATGATTCTTTTCAGTTTTATTAATCCAGTTGAACATTAAGTAATTAGATGTTTTTATTTAAATGAATAAGATGATTTCTTGAAGTACATAATGGGATTTACAGGGTCTTGGAAGAAAACTACTTAGAACAAAGTAAGAGGTGCAGTTCTGATTCAAAAAAAATGTTTTATGTTTTTTAATAAGTACCTCATCAATTTTACTACATTCATAAATTGTCACAACTGGTTTCACTGTTCTCCTTTTAATGTTACTGGGATTTTTTTTTTCAAGTGTAAAATTTGGACGGTGATTTTGAGATACTTACTTCCCAGTTCTGGGATTCTTAGAGTGCATTATGTGAAGTATGATATGATTAGGGTTCCCAGGCCGCGTGGCCTTGGACATGGGCTGTAACTGGGGACCCCTCATTTGCAAGGCAGTGATTGCACAAAAACCCTCACCAGCATAAGCCACATAGTAGCATTCGGTCAGGAATCAACACCGTGCAGAGCGCTTCTCTCAAGCATATGTTCGAAAGCTAAGTAAAGGAATCTGAAACCTCAAATTCACACATAAAAGTGTGAAAAAATTATGAAAGATATCCTATTGATTTATATGTTTTAAGAAGTGAATCAGATTATGTATCCAGTGTCTTTTTGGTTTATGTTATTTAGACCCTAACAGTCAACATCTCTGTCCTCCTCGGGCTTGGAGACATTTTGGATGAGTTAGTGAGCAGTAGCAGGTTGCATCTTATTATAGCACTTGTGTTGACTTTTTATCCCATGACATTGTTAATGTCAGAATTCGCCATGATCACTTGTCAAAGTCCTGTGCACCTCTGAGTTTATTTGTAAAACATTAACCCTTTTTAGTGTGTGACATTGGTTCTCATCCCTCTAAGTTTACAGAGACTGCCCAGGGAATTGCCACAGCTAACAATTGGTGAGCACCTGGGGAGGAAGAGAAGGGGTGGACCCATGAGGTGGCTTTCCCCTGACAGCTGGTCATCCTCTGACCTCTCCGCCTGGCACTCATGCACAGAAGTGGCACAAGGGCATGAAGCCGGGCTCAGGCTGGCAGGAGATCTCAGAGTCACAGTGGTGACTCACATGGCCTATCCTATCCGGTGACCTACTTTTCCAGTCTGTCTGCAAATAATAATGCTAATTCATTAACATCCCAAGTCATTTTCCTTTCCTGTTGTTAGTCTGGGCTGCCCCGTGCTCTTACGGGAACAGATCTGATGAAAGTTGTTAAATTTGTATTTTATTCCATCTTGTCCATCTAGTTTTATTCCTAGTGGCTTAGAAACTGAAGTAGCAATTTTTATCAGAACAGGAGAAAAGATCTTGAAAAAATAAAAAAGAAGGATTCAGCAAGGATTAGACAAGTAAGCTTGCTTCCAGCTGTACCCTGGGTGGGTTGCTGCTCTCGGAGGGGGCACCTCCAGATGGACTTGGGCAGAGCAGCCCCTCACAGCTGTTTCCTGGGGGACTTCATCGTCTCTGATAGCCAGGTGGTTGAGGTGTCCCAGAGGTATGGGGCACTATTGTATCTGTTGTCAAATTTCTTCTGAAGGAGAGAACTTCTTTTCCCTTTCCTATATTGCTACACCCTGAGTTTCTCAAGAGGATGACGGTAGCATGGGAACAGTTATCTAATAGGGAAACACATGCACTTTCTTTTCAACTCAGCACTG